GGTGGCATGGAGGTTTAGGTAGCTGGATCCCACATAACTGATTGTATGGTTTAAGTCCCATACCCAGCGGCTTGAAAAATATGCCAGCCGTGTGTGTGTGTGTGTGTGTGTGTGTGTGTGTGTGCGTGCACGCACATACCCCAAATCCTGAAAGAAGAATGGAGGAACAGAAATTGTGCCATGGCCTTTCCCACTGGCGGAATGATTTCTCACTTCCCCTCTCTCTCCTCTCTATCTCTCTCTGTTGAGTGCATGCTCCCAATAGCAGAGAGAATATGAGAGAGAGAGAGAGAGACGTTCATTCATATTTCCTTCTAATACTTGTGTGGATTTTATTTTTATGTTTAGAGCTTTATTCCATCTGGAATTTACTTTGTACAGAATACGACTTCAGGTGGAAAGTCAGTTGTCCCAATACCATTTACCAAACAACTTACTATTTAGCCACTGATTCAAAATACTTCCATAGTATTTGTTAAATTCCTCTGTAATCTGAGATCTGCTTCTGGATTCTAATATTTTTGGTTAGTTGGTTTCTATATCATTATACTTGCTTTTTAAGTTGCTTAAAAACATAGGGCTTTTTTGATAACTACTGGGGTAAGTCTCCACTAATTTCAATTATTTTTCTTTGTTTTCCAAGGCTATTGTCATGTATTTCCCTTCTAAATGAACTTTAGAATAGGCTGCTCAAATTCCACTAAAAATCCCACTGGACATGAGAGTGCATTCTAATTTATAAAATTTAAAAATTGAGTGAAATTTTATATCTTAAATGTGTCTGATTTAAAGCTCAATAAATGCTTTATAAAATAAATAGAATGCCTTTAAAAATTAAGTAATATTATTACAATGGAATATATTGCCATTATTCTTATTATATAACATGGCAACTTTCAAGGAATAAATGGAAACATTTCCTATTGACTGGCTATTCAAACAACCAAATATCTTCTTCAATGCTAGGAAACTATAGTAATGTTTTGAGGATACAGAGATGTATTCAGATGTATACAGTATAGATCCTGTTCTTAGAAACTTGTAACCTAGTTAAGAAGATAAGACATATGTAAGGGCAAGATGGTGGCACAGTGGTAACATAACTGGACCCACATGAGAAAGGTCCTGTGTTCAAATCTCAGAATCTTTCTGAGCACATTGAACATGTGCATGTACACCTGTGCCCAGGTCAGCTAAGACTAGGGTTGGGTTTACTGAGGACCCTGCTGGAGATACTGTATCTCTGTCTCATATATATGAGTGTCCTTCAAGAAGTATGTGGAAATGGAACTAGAGTATGAGTCTATTTTCATGCAAAAAGTTTATAAAATTCCTTCAGTTTTCACCGAAGGCCTACTTTGCAAGAACTTTTTGATGACTCCATGTAAATGCTGATACAAGGCAGTTTACATTATGAATCCAATAAGTTACCATAGACAATGAGAACTGTAAAAATTCAAAGGCAGGAGATTCAAGGTAGAAGATTTACAGGCTCTCTCTCTTTCAGTTTACAGAAGAGAACATGAAGGCCCAGACAACTTAAATCATGGTGCTAAGCAGTCACAGAAAGCATCAGATCTGCTGATTTATGTTCCAGTGACCCACCAACTACATCAAGTTGCCTTTCCTTCACACATTTATTTGTAGACCATTTTAGAGTGGTCTAGAAACCTGTATCTGTGGACCAGGAGAATCCTTCAGAAAACTCATGCTCATAACTATCAATGCCCACAAACTAGTTTCCCCAAATCAGTTAAAAATGATAAGGTTGCAAACAACTCTATTACAGAGGTTTCTTTTGATTTATATGACATCAAATACCAACTATTAATGATGTTTCACTTTTCCGCCAGTGGATTTGACATTAGAACACATAGCCTATGTTGAGATAATAGAATGGGAGGGATTTCTTTTCCCCCCTTTAGGCAATTCTTTCCCTTGTCATATTTTAAAGCCCTCCAGTAACAAACTCTAAGACCCATAGGAATCTTTACACCCGTGGAGAAGAGATTTCTAAAACTCAACATCAAATCCACTTTTGATTTTTCCCTTGAGTTTGTTTCTGTCAATGTGAGGCAGGTAACACATTTCAGCTTTTAAGTCATGAAGTGATCTTTTTATAGACAAAAAAAAAAAAAATTGCACTCACAGCTTTAATCTTATATTTCCATGCATATTGAGTTAAATGTTGTAAAACTATCAATTCTGTCAAAACCTAGCAAAAAAGAAAACAAGACACCATGCAATCTTAATGTCCAAACTGACTAGTGATTATCAGAAATTAAATGTGCAGGAATTCCAAATCTTTTTTGATTTGAGATGTCTAGATAACTTTTGTTTTTCCATAATTGTATGAGGTTTCTACATAGTATTTAAGAATCAATTATATTGCAATTGATGTAATTAACTCTAATAATCCATTAAAAGTCAGTAGGAGGGCTATTCAAGTCAACAGAAAAGAAGGAGTATATTATGAAGGTGTTATTAACCTATACAGAATTTTACCAGACATTTTCTTTTCTTACATAATAAATACACAGTGGTTAGGAAGGCTGTCATTATAATTTACTGTGAACAATAGTCCATCACTTTTTTTATCTCTGCAACCCTTAACTAATTCCATGTACCATGCACAAGTAAAATGAAACCTTTTCTAATCAGGGTACGGTCATATCAATCATCTATTACTTCACAATTAAAAAAGAGGTCCTTTCCCAGCTATGTGGAAGAGAATTGGGTACCAGCAGAAGTTTCAGGCCCACCTTCTCTGTCAGTTGACAAGTCTTAGTTTCTGATGACTGTCTGTACTTTGTAACTATGCAGAAACTTCTCTTTAGAATGTTCTGGCAACCGCTGAATTGCTATGGACAGCTTGACTACATCTTCCCTTGAGCACCAAGTAAACTTTAGAGCACTCTGATCTTTTGAGACAAGTGAGACACAAACTACAGGCCATCACAGCATTCCACGTGTCCATCCCACTTCCTCAGAAGTTTTGTTTGGCTTCAGCTGTGAAGCTCACAGACATCTAAAAGAACTAGCCTTACAAGGGCTGGCCTGGTCATTGCTGGGACTCCAGGTCACAGAGTGAGTTTTCATTCATTTCCCATCCTCTCTCCATTAGTCCAAGTAAAATGAGATGAGCAAAGTCATGAGAGTACCATTAAAATCATGCATCACCAAACAGCTATCCTCTGAAAGGACTGTCACCTCTCACCAGTACCAACTGCCCTTTACCAAACTGATAATAAACAAAAATGTCAGACTCTACCACTTGCATGAAAGGACACCTTATCCTGCTGTAGACTTCATTTGGAATTCAGACTATGTTAGCTTTGGCTTGCTTCACGTAAGTATCATGGTAACTGCCCCTACCTGTGTGGACAGCCAATATTAGCAGGAATAACACCTTCCACACAAAGAACAGCTATACCTGAGAAAGGAATAGTGCTCCAGGGCATGAGGGAAAGAATATTGCACTTAGGTTCAAAACGCATAGTACGAGTACAGGACAGGCTCTGCCACGAATTGGTTGTGTGATCCAGAGTCTCACTCTTATAACTCCCTCGCTATAACAGGGGTGAAAAGAAAACCCGCAGTTTAGGCCTGTTATTAAACTCGCCCGATTAAACTAGGATCAAATTAGACAAACATGTGAAGTAAGCCTTGTAAATTGTAAAACATTATGCGAATCTGAGATTGGTTAGCTGCTTCTAGTGTTGTTCAAAGTCACAGACAGTTTTCAAAGCCAAGGGGAAAAAGGATAAAGCAATAATTCTCCAACTCAGATGCACATGACATTCATCTTGGGACTTATTTCAAAGTACATATGCCCGTCTCCCAGGTGATTCTGATTGGAACTTTAGGCTGAGGGGACACTGGGATAAGGGACTGGCTGAAAATGGATTCCCATTCATTCATCAGATATTTTAAGCACTAGGAAGCCTTAGAGGATACAAATAATTACAAGATATGGCTTAAATGTCAAGCAATGTTACCTCGACATGTGAAAAGAAGACAAACATCCAGGAATAAATAAAATATAAGACTCTGTATGTCAAAGCAAAAAAAAAAAAAAAAAACCCATAATTAAAATCTCTCATACTTTCCCTCTTACGCAGTTTAGGCCTGTTATTAAACTCGCCCGATTAAACTAGGATCAAATTAGACAAACATGTGAAGTAAGCCTTGTAAATTGTAAAACATTATGCGAATCTGAGATTGGTTAGCTGCTTCTAGTGTTGTTCAAAGTCACAGACAGTTTTCAAAGCCAAGGGGAAAAAGGATAAAGCAATAATTCTCCAACTCAGATGCACATGACATTCATCTTGGGACTTATTTCAAAGTACATATGCCCGTCTCCCAGGTGATTCTGATTGGAACTTTAGGCTGAGGGGACACTGGGATAAGGGACTGGCTGAAAATGGATTCCCATTCATTCATCAGATATTTTAAGCACTAGGAAGCCTTAGAGGATACAAATAATTACAAGATATGGCTTAAATGTCAAGCAATGTTACCTCGACATGTGAAAAGAAGACAAACATCCAGGAATAAATAAAATATAAGACTCTGTATGTCAAAGCAAAAAAAAAAAAAAAAAAGACCCATAATTAACATCTCTCATACTTTCCCTCTTAAACCTGAAGTGAGAAGAAACTCCATATTTCCTGGGAGGAAATTCTGGTTCGCTCATCCTCTCAGATAAAGATGGTGGGTGCTCTTGCTCCCTTGAACATGGACCTCACTTTTAGGCCCTAGGAGTCAATGTGAGTCAAAGAAACCTCAGCCAGGAATTGGGGAGGGCATATGGATCCCATTCCCTCTCCTGGAAAACCAGGCCTCACCGAGTGTCATCTCTTCCTCAGAGGGCTCCTCTCGATACGGAACAAAGAATCCTTTTCATTCTGGAGAACTCCTGTTTTATGTGGCACAGGTAAAGACGAGACAAACCAACCACAGGCATGGGCAGCCACAGTGACTAGAATTTTGACACTTACCCTCTGAAGGTTTTGCTTTGAATCTCCTCCCCAAGGCCAGTCCCCAAGAGAGCATTTGGGCACAGCAAAGCAGTGGCTTCAAAGTCACAGTGACTTTCTATGTGCCTGGGAGGAGACAGAGAATGTCCCTTCCTTTATGCTGAAACTCCCACTGTCACTTTGTACAGGCCCTAAGAACACAGAGAAAAGAGACCTGGTCCAAGAGTCAAGAGGCCTGGGTTGTCCTTCTGCCCCTGCCAATAACGACTGAGGAAACCATCTCTTTTTGGCCACATCCTTTTCCAAAGAGAAAATTCAGGAGATTGACATCTACTGTAGCTACTGCACAGGAGGAGCATGAAGGCTAGATGAAAAACTTCCTTAAAATACTAAAAAGTGCCCCTGAAATGTAACAAATTAATATTAAGCCTCAAAGTAAAACGTTTGTCCTCTGAATTATCCCATTTGGTTACGAATTCACTAGATAACAGTCCATCTGTTGCTTTGCTTTGAAAGAATAGGCCGGTCCTCGGGTAGGTGACCACCACTGACCCTTTGTAGATAAAGGCTTGCAGGGCTGGGTTATGGGCCTATTGAATTATCTCTGACTCTCTCAGGTATGCACATTTTCTCTCTGTATTCCTCTCCCTCACCCTACAGAATTTTGAAATGCTGCTTCTCTGCCCAGGGCTATCCACCCCCTGCCTCAACCTGCCCATAGGGATCTGGAGGTACCCAAGAACCTCTGACCCCCATCACATTCATGTGACACCTTTATTCATGCTAAATTCACTTGAGAGGGGAAAAAAGTACCTCAACCAGGAAATACATCTTTTGCAGCTATTTCATCCTCCCCTCACGTGGCGCTGGAATATCACTTTAAAGAACATTCTTGTGGCATTTCCAGTTCTTTTCCTTTAGGACCACAAACAGGAGTAGCCCGTCCAAGGGGAAACTACTCCCCAGCAGAGCCGTTCTTCAAAGGGGACTTCTTCAGGCAGGAAAAGGGAACGTCTGATACTGTAGCTGAATAAACAGACTCATCGAGCCGACTGCCAGATTGGAAAACCAGGCCTTCTGAGCTTGCAGCCTGCCAGCCGCGTACCTCATACTTGCTATAGCTCTGTCTCTCTCAACTCTATCCTGCTGTCTCTCTTGTTCTCTTCCATTCTGTCATCTTCATGGAAGGTATTAATGTTCCTGGATTTACAAATACTGTTTTTATTATGATTAGTGGACTAATCTAATAGGCACTATAGGTCTCAAAGCCCACTTTTGAATCATAAGCTGTTTTATGGTCTCTATCGCTGCAGTTCACTTTACATTTCCTCACAGTCACCAGCGTTCTTCAGAACATAGCTAGTTTTAAAGGCAGGACAGACGGTTCATTCAGTGTTGTAAGCTCTAGCTGGGTGGCTAGTAGCTTCCTAGAGCTTAGTAGAAACTCCCAAGGTCATTATTTTCCAGAAAAACTACAAATTTACTCAGAAAGATAATTGTCTAATCTGGACTTTGAAAGAGTCCCGGTCTCTTTCAAATCTACAGTAAAACTATTTCCAAATAACTAACCTACATTTTTACTACAATTCTTTTTTTCCATTTAAGTAGCTGATCATACATACAATCCCAAACCATAGGTCATAGCAGGGCTTAGGCTTCGAAACTGAGATTTATCTTTTTTTTTTTTTTCATACTGCAAAATTTGAGCTTTTGGTTTTATTTAAACAATCATGCCAGGAAATGCAGTTTTTCAGATAATCTGGACATTACCTAGCATTAGTTGCTACTTATGTAAGGGTACTTCAAAAGTTTGTGGGAAAATGGAATGAAAGCATTAGTTTATTTTAATGGCCTGAAAAATGAAATCCATACGTAGTTTACTTATTATACACATTTCCAGTGGGCTTTTTTAAGACTGACTTTTCATATATCCATAGGTACTCACGTGGACCAAGAAATTCTGTGTGGATTTCCCACCTCACAGTTTTATCTCATTGGGATTCTTTTCAAATATCCACAACATAAGGCATAGGGTCTCACTTTTACTTTTCTAAAAAAACCAGCTGAGTCCCATACTCCAATTCACTTTTTCAGAATATAGGTTCATTCTGAGTTGGTCAGTAATTTCTACATGGTAATCAGAAAGGCAATTCAACTGTTTTCTTGTCATTAACCACCACCACCCACAAACATCCAGATTAGCCATGAATTAGTAAATTTATTTTAGTATTTTCTTAGCACCACCCTGGGTCTACCTTTAGAGAAAAAGAAAAAAAAATCTGATTTAGCCAACCAGATACTTTCTCACAAACAATACCTGGATGTTTAGCAATTTCTCATTAACAGTAAATTTTTTAACTGATTGTTGTACAGCCACCACCATGAATTGCCTGTCAAACTAAGAAGAATAAAGGTCTGACTTTTTTAACCAATAGAATTCTGAGAGTCACCTCCTCTCTACTTGACAGGCTTAGATTAGGTTGTCCGTTGTGCAACCATCAGCACAAACATCCCCTTAGACATGCAAAAGGGACAAGGTGGGAGACATTCATTTCAGTTACCTTTGCCCAGGATTTATTTATTCTGCAGACAAAAAACTTTGGACTTCTTTGCTCAACGAGTCATCCTGCACAAATAGTAAACTCTCTCAAAACTTTCTGTTCCCAGGGGACCCTTGAGAAAACAAAATGGAAAAAAAAGTATGATTAAAATTTGCTTTCTTCGGTCAACATCCTAACATTGAGCAATATCTTGACATCTTAAAAGGGACTGTTCTGGTGTCAGATTGTGAGTTGGTAAACTCCCTATTGATCTACTAACTGGAACCAGTCATAAACAGAGTCAGAATTCTGAGGTTGCTAACTTTTGTTCTGTAACCCTATTCCATTTCTCCCAATAGCATCATGAGGACCTTGTCCACATTCACCCTTTGCAAGAGGTGATTTCTAAACCTTTATTAATAGATCACACTCTCTTGGGGTTGGCAGGTGGCATGAAGGTTGAGGCTCTGGACTCCCACATGGCTGACTACTGTTTGAGTCCTGGACCTGGCAGCTTGCTTCCTCCCTTTCCCTTTCTGACTGTTTCTCTCTGGTCAAATTTTAAAGTATAATAATAATAATGATAATGTATAAACTTAAATAAAATAATTCTTAAAAAATAGGTCACACTCTTTATCAGTAAAAATTTTTGAGCATACCCAACCTGTATATTTTTATTTATAAATTACTAATATATTACTCCATTGTGTGCATCAAAATCTGCACCAAAAATTCTTAATTTAAGATGAAACCTTTAAAAATAAATACAGGTTTTGATATCTTCTTTCTGCACACCAGTAGATCTTACTGTATTCTCCATGGGGTATGGCTACAATCCTTCTGAACCCATAACTTTAAAAATGCAGAGATACGGGGCCAGCAAGTGGCATGGTGGGTAAGGTGTTGGACTCCCATATGGATGGCCATGATTTGAGTCCCAGAGCTGGGGGGCTTTCTCTCTCTCTCTCTCTCTCTCTCTCTTTCGCTCTCTTCTGGTGAGCACATGTGTCCTATAACAAATTTAAAGTAATAATAATAATAAATTAAATTAAATTAATAATTCTTTTTTTTAATGCAGTGATCTGTCATTCTTCCAAACACAAATCTCTACTTTGCCCTAATCAAAACTTGTTTTCAAGAAAAGATATGCTAGTGGTCATTATCAGTTTCTGTGAATAAAGACCCATCATTTTATTAATGCTTCCAACAGGATTTGTATTTTAACCATATGATTAATTATGAGAAGAAAGTTTTATTCCATGTTAATGTTACAGCAGAAATGTCAAAATAATTCATAGTATTTGGAGGACTGGACATGTTTCCTGGTGGCCCAAATCTCAGAAAAATTAGGAAGCCCCTCACCAATTGAGAAAGCATTAACAGCACCAAACTCTACAAATGAAAAGGTGTTAAGAGACAGCAAACTGGTTAGAAGAGGGAAGAGTAGGGGTGACATGTTAGCTAAGGCAATTTTTCTGAAGGACAACTCCAAGTTTCTACTTAAATCATATGTTCATTTAAGGAGTCAGAAGTGAGTGGTTGGGTTACTGATAGACGTTTTTGAGGAAGGGCTTTAGTCCTCCAAGTCCCACTGTGTGCCTTTGTGACCAGTAGAAACAACTTTGGATCAATTCCCACAAGGCCCCATGAAAATTCAAAGGCTCTGTAGTAACTTTAAGTTGAGGAGTTAGATAAAGACCACTATTTTCAAGGAAAAAAAAATTTTTTTTCCCAAATAATCAATCACAAGTACTTGCATAGCTCAAGTACTTAAGTGTTTGTCATGAATTTCTGAAAAAAAATTTCCCAGAGGAAAAGATGAGCAATAATCTAAGTCATTTTTATCTTTGTGTATATGAAGTTGAGGACTTTTTTTAAAAAATCTGAATTGTTTATTAACATATGTATTGATCCAGTTCACCAGGTATCTGCAAAATAATCTATTTAATTTTAACCAACAAGAAAAAAGAGGGGCCAGCAGGTGGTATAGTGGTTAAGACTCCCTCATTGCTGACCTTGGCAGCTTGGAACTCACATTGGGCGTGTGTGTGTGTGTGTGTGTGTGTGTGTGTACATACACACATGTGCACGTATGTGAGTAGGTGCTCAAAATCCTGAGAGAAGAATAGAAGAGAAGAGATTGCAACCTGGCCGCCTCCTCTTGGGGGGGGGTGATTTCTCGCTTCCCCTCTCTCTATCTCTCTCTGGTGAGCACACACATCCTATGGCAAAAAAACAAAACAACATCAACAACAAAGGAAAGTTGGGGCTGGACAGTGGGTAGGGCAGCAGGAAAGTGTAGCACTGTTCGGGATTGACCACATGGGAGGGTTTCAGGTTAGTATCCAGGGACCTGATGCACAGGGCCCATGATTCAGGGCTAGTTAGGCTGGGGTGGATTTTGGCATTGAGATTCTGTTGGGAGTGCTGTTTCTCATCTCTCTCTCTCTCTGTCTCTCTCAGTCAAGGGGGTGGAGAGGAACAAGAAAAAGGAAAGTGGAGCATGGAGAGAGCTTATTGGCTGTTGAGAATTGTCTTTTGTGGGGCCAGCCCTGTAGTACAATGGTTACACACAGTGCATCAGGAGCCAATCCCACATGGCCAAGCATGCTTCAAATCCCAGCTCTAGCAGCTTGAAAAGCACACCGGGAATATGTGCATGCATGCCCAGAATCCTGATGGAAGAAGAAATGGATGAAAAACAACTGGGGGCGTGGTGGCGCCCGCCCTATGGCAAAAACCTATGGAGGCTGGAGGATTGCGGCATCGAGTCCATCTCACTCTCTCTGTCTCTCTCAGCGAGTGCACGATTTTTGGGGCCAGCAGGTGGCGTGGTGGTTAAGGGCGCTGGACTCCCACATGGCCAACCATGGTTGGAGTCCCAGACCTGGAGGCTTGCTTTCTCACTCTCTCTCTTACTCTGTTCCTCCCTGGTCAAATTAAAATAAATAAATAAATAAATAAATAAATAAATAAACATTAAAAATTTTGAAAAAAAAAAAAAACTGGGACATGACCAAACCCTATTGAGGGGTCGTTCTCTCTCTCTCTCTTTCTCTCTCTCCCTCTCTCTCTTTCTTTCTCTCTCTCCCTCTTTTCCTCTCCCCTCCCCTCTCCTCTCTCTCTCACTCACTCTCTGACAAGCACATACACATTAAAAAAGAAAGAAAAAAACTATAGTGTCTCCTGTATAGGTGTGTATGCACATACTACTCATACACAGATGTATATATGTACATATATGTGTATATGTGTATGCATAGAGGAGACCTAGCTATCAGTTTATTATTCAGTTAAGCAACTCGGGTGCCCATGAAAAATTACGAAGTGATATATCAGCAGGCACAAAATAACCTAACATAAAACATATCAAATAAGTATGTGCTGACAGAATGAAGAGTAGGATATAATTAAAATCTGATTATTATGAATTCCCAGAGAAAGTAGAGACAGGCATTTCAGATAAATAAATTGTCATGAGAGATGAAAAGAAGTTTAATTTAGCAAATCATACCCAGGGGACACAAGATTCACTAGTGGGAGAAAAGGACTCATATTGATGAGGCATAAACTATGAAGCTAAAGTTAATGGATTGAGAGAGAACAACTGATGTGACAACTAAGTCAAAATTCAGTTGAAACATCCAGGTCAATAAGGCAAAGTGTGTATCATTATTGTTTTACTTTCAATATACATATTAAATCTTTTCATGGTAGGAGAGACAACACAGATACACCGACATAACATAAACTGGACCTAGTAACAGCTTCATTGCGGGGAGCTTGACATGAGTGCACAGGAGTTCTGTCGGCTCTTGGACCTTTTCAGGCTTGACCTTTGTTTCTGAAATGTCAAGGTATCTCTTGTGTCATCATGAGCCCCTTCCCCCAACCCCTCATAGCTGTACCACTGAATAGACACAAACTATGCCAAAAGCGATAAGACTGAGAACTGCTGAACACCACCAATTCTTCTGTCAACATTCCTGTCCTGAAATCTCCTTTTACTTAACAAGCCTAGATCACCTTCCTTTAGTGGCACAAATGAGAAGAAAACCAAGGTAAATAATCACTCTCTCCAAAAGATAATTCTCAGGAGGAAAATGGATACCACCTATCTAGGTGATCATGTGTTGTCTAGGTTCCCCATCTTGGTTCATGTTTATTACAAGCCGTTCCACCTACATACATATGATCAGAACTGCTAAAGAATGGAAGCTCATCAGGGCCAAGACCTGACTTTTCACCTTCTTTTACCTTCCCTATTATGAATCAAAGACACTGCTTTCACTTTCATGTATAGTAGGAACTCAACATGCATATTAAACAACAGATAAATACCCTAGTTTTGATCAGGCTAAATTTTTTTTTAAAATGCTTAAATGAAATCAGTTCATCAAGGTGGTTATCAACTTATGGATCAGATACCCACAAATTTCCTTCAGTTTGGTTATTGAGAAACTATCAAGTCAAACTATAGTTAATGAAGCTAGATTTTAATCTGCTCCTATCTTGTCAACATGCTGCCCTATTACCTAGTATAGTATTATACCTTCCTACCTATGGTAGGAAGAAGCTTGTAGTAACTTCTCTTTAGGATAACCAAATCAATTCTTTCCTTTCTTGAATGTAGAAACCATTCCCCTCTTGTGAGGTATAATCTATTTCTCCAACCTCTGAAATCTGGGTTTGCCAATGACTGCTTTGGCAAACAGAAGTTATCTGTGTGACTTCCAAGCTTATATGGTGTAGTACTGGCTTCATATTAAATAATTCTATTTTGTAAACTGAATATGGCTATTTAATTTATTGTGAAAATTAAATTTACTGTGGTATTTTAAAATGAGGTGGATTGGGACCAGCAGTCAGCGTAATGACTGTGTCACTGGACTCCCAGGTAGTCAACTGCCTTTCGAGTCTTGGACCTGGTGGCTTAAACTCACACCAGGAGTGTGTTCATGCATTCTCAAGATCCTGAGAGGAGAATGGAGGAGAAGGGATTGCAGCATGGTCATCCCTCCTGGTGGGTGATTTCTCGCTATCTCTCTGTCTCTCTCCGTCTTTCTGGTGAACACACATGCCCAATAACAAAGACTTCTCAAAAAAAAAAAAAAAGAGGTGGATTAAAATTAC